AGTAAAAAAGAAAGTTTGTACTTAATAAATGAGGAATTAGTTGGTTTTTAGTACCACCTTTCCAGCTCCAACTAAATGTAAATATAAAAGTCAAGAAAAATATATGACGTATAAAGTCTGTTTATGTAGTAACTTGGCGTAATTAAATGCAGCCAAATACATTCATTGTGTTATAAATCCTCCCTTCATGAAGGTTGTGATGTGTAGTTACTGTTGAAACAGTTTTAGAGAGGTGGTGTGTGTTGTTTGTGGTGCTGCTGGTCGTCATTGCTTTGACAGGTTTTTCTTCCTATGTAACCAACCCCCGCTGATTTAAATGATTTGCTAGGCCGCATGTATGTGAGTGATCCCGCAGCTGATTTTCAGAGAAATCCAGAGAAACTCAAATCTCTTACTTAAACTTTTGATTACTTTGTCTTTGTCTGTGTAATAAAGAGATTAGTTAAGTAACTAGTAATGTTTGTGCTCTGGTGAAAACAGTTGGATTTTAACCTTGCGAAATTGTGTTTTTCCTCTCTTCAGGTGATTCTTATAGAATTCCTACCCAAATATCCTATATTCCGACCAGACTGACGAGGCCGTTGCCAGACTGGATGAGTGGCCCTTGAATCTTATCCTTAGTGCCTTGTATATACAGTATGTTGGAAAAAAGGGTCTGCGCCGCTGTGTCTCGTGACGACCCTGTAAATCTCCCAGTACCTTGTACATTAAAATTTGCAACACTGTCACTTTGCTTTAGAGCAGATTTTGCACATTTCCCGACAGAACTACACATGTTCCCTTTGTTGCACTCGGATGTGTTTTTGTTACATGTGAGAAAAAACAAAACAAGTGATTCTCTCAAAAAGTGCATTTACCCCAAAGAACCATCAGCCTGTATCCCATCTATTAAATCACTAATCCCTCGCAAAGAATGTGATGCCTCCACCTTCCGTAACTATCCTTGCCTTATGTATGATTTAAAAAAAATAGAAACTACATGTAACAGGAGGAGGAAGGCTTTGGGTAATTCAACAAGTCTGTAGGCTCAGATGCTGTTTGTTGGGTTTCCCCTCTTTTAATCCAGTTCTTTGCAGGTAGATGGGATGGTTGAGATTGCCTAACGTACAGTGTACGTCATCACCCCGTGTTTTGTCCTTACAAGAACCCTCTGTACATGGGAACTAGCTAGTAAGAACTTGACCTGTAAATACCATGTTAGAATAAGCTGTACAGTGGTATACCATTGTTTACATAAAGTTACTTAGCTCTTTAGTTTTTTTGCCAATATATTGCTGTAAATTAGTTTTGATTATGAAAGATGTCTACGTACCTTTCTAGTTTATATGGACCTGTTTATCTTGTAAGCCATATAGTGACTATGTACCTGATGCCAGAGTTGAAACTGATTGTTGCACATGAAGTTCAGGATTTCAGACTGGAGTGGATCCTGAGTTTTCTTCCGGTGACAACAGCAGTGCATGTTACCATGCGGTTTTTGCCAATTAAGATGACATTCAGTGATTGGTCATCCGTTAAAGATGGAGATGATTGGAAGATTTGAATTTGAACTCTGCACTTCCACTCATTTCTCTCCCACCCCCACTAACTTTGTATTAATTTTGTAGTTTTGTACTTTTCCCTGTGCTGTGTTTGGTCCTCCTGAAGTGTTAGGAAGCACATGCTTCTACAGATCCTGATGTGTTGAGCTGATGGTTTCTTTGTTTCACTCATCCTTTCAAGTGTTGGTTTTGTTTTTCAGAATCTTAGTCAAAAGATTGCTGCATTGCATTGTATTAGAGTGCCTCTGGTATAGTTGAAAACCACAGAGAAGTGCAGGTTGAAATCTGTTCTCCTGTACAAAGGAGAGTTTACTGCTCCCAGTATTGTCCCTGTTACATTTTGTTTTGTAAGTGTTTATCATGGTGACCTAATCCCAATGGAGAGAAAATAAATTGTCAATTTTGAATTTAATTTGTTGCCACTTCCTTCTTTTTCCCCCCCTTATGAAACCTGTGGTGTGTCATGTTGGTAGAAGCAGGTTGTGACTGACCTTGGCTGATGCACTTTGACCACAGCCTGGTGCCCCGCGATGGAAAATGTGGCTGTTTGTCATGTTTAACAAGGTGGTGAATCGTTAACTTTAACAAGACAGCCTGCAATTACTCAACATATATACAACTCAGGAATGCTGTTACCATAACGTACTGCTGCTTCCTAATGACACGGACCAGCAGGCAGCAAGCCGAACTCAGAAATTAAAGGGTACTTGTATTCAATGCAATACAGCCAATACAATAGAATTATGTCAATTTTCAGAAATTCATTAAAAATCATCCTGAGTAGTTGATGTCCAACTTTCAACACATCCCTCCTCTGGGACACCTACTGTACCTGTGTGCCAAGTTTCATCCAGATTTACTGTAGAATTCCTCAGAAATTAATGGAAACATTTATTCAATCTAATACAGCCAATACACTACAATTGTGTCAATTTTCAAAAATTCATTAAAAATCATCCTGAGTAGTTGAGGTCCAACTTTCAACACATCCCTCCTCCGGGAAACCTGCTGTACGTCTGGGCCAAGTTTCAGCCAGATTTACTGTAATATTCTTCAGAAATTGCAGGGAACTTATGTTCAGTCAAGAAAGGCTGAAAGACGACCACCACTGAACAAGACACACAAGCTGAAACGTCAAGACTGGGCCAAGAAATATCTCAAGACTGGTTTTTCTAAGGTTTTATGGACTGATGAAATGAGAGTGAGTCTTGATGGGCCAGATGGATGGGCCCGTGGCTGGATTGGTAAAGGGCAGAGAGCTCCAGTCCGACTCAGACGCCAGCAAGGTGGAGGTGGAGTACTGGTTTGGGCTGGTATCATCAAAGATGAGCTTGTGGGGCCTTTTCGGGTTGAGGATGGAGTCAAGCTCAACTCCCAGTCCTACTGCCAGTTTCTGGAAGACACCTTCTTCAAGCAGTGGTACAGGAAGAAGTCTGCATCCTTCAAGAAAAACATGATTTTCATGCAGGACAATGCTCCATCACACGCGTCCAAGTACTCCACAGCTGGCTGGCAAGAAAGGGTATAAAAGAAGAAAAACTAATGACATGGCCTCCTTGTTCACCTGATCTGAACCCCATTGAGAACCTGTGGTCCATCATCAAATGTGAGATTTACAAGGAGGGAAAACAGTACACCTCTCTGAACAGTGTCTGGGAGGCTGTGGTTGCTGCTGCACGCAATGTTGATGGTGAACAGATCAAAACACTGACAGAATCCATGGATGGCAGGCTTTTGAGTGTCCTTGCAAAGAAAGGTGGCTATATTGGTCGCTGATTTGTTTTTGTTTTGTTTTTGAATGTCAGAAATGTATATTTGTGAATGTGGAGATGTTATATTGGTTTCACTGGTAAAAATAAATAATTGAAATGGGTATATATTTGTTTTTTGTTAAGTTGCCTAATAATTATGCACAGTAATAGTCACCTGCACACACAGATATCCCCCTAAAATAGCTAAAACTAAAAACAAACTAAAAACTACTTCCAAAAACATTCAGCTTTGATATTAATGAGTTTTTTGGGTTCATTGAGAACATGGTTGTTGTTCAATAATAAAATTATTCCTCAAAAATACAACTTGCCTAATAATTCTGCACTCCCTGTAGATTGAATAAATGTTTCCATTAATTTCTGAGGAATTCTACAGTAAATCTGGATGAAACTTGGCACACAGGTACAGTAGGTGTCCCAGAGGGGGAATGTGTTGAAAGTTGTACATCAACTACTCAGGATGATTTTTAATGAATTTCTGACATTTCCATAATTGTATTGACTGTATCGGGCTGTTAAATTGTAATTTGTGCGTGCGCGTGCACGTGCGCGCGGGTATAGGCTTTCAATCGGCACATAAAGCGAAAAGGCGCTACCGTAAAGACTGGTGTAAAAGCGCAAGGAAATTTATGCGGCGGATAGGAGGCGGCTGGCTAGACCGCGGCTCACAAATGACGGCTCACTTTACCGCGGTCTAAAAGGTAGTCCGAATCTATTTTTCTGGTGTGCTGTAGGTTATTGTTATGTACTACATTTGTTACTCATTTATGAAGCACAGTACATGTTTCGTACTTGTAATTACCGCTACTTTTACATATACCTAAAAAGTTGTGCAAATATGTACCCATAACTTGTTTTTCAAAATATTAATAAAAGGGGTGTGTCTCCAAACAGCCATCTCTTTCCTGACAATTCCCTTTGTGCATATTCTCTTACATATGATAAGTCAACATTGAAACACCTGCGGCTTTTAGTCAGGTGCGGCTAATGTATGTACAAAACAGGATTTTCCCCTGATTTTAGCTTGTGCGGCTAATATTCAGGTGCGCTTTGTAGTCCAGGAAATACGGTAAGTTGGTGGTATGTAAGTGCTTATGAAGTGAAGATTTTGAGAGAACTGGCAAATCATAATTGTGAGAAATCACTGTTGAGGACTTCAGAGCATGATTTTAAAATTGCATAACAGGCCTATGATAAAGCACAAGATTAAAAGGTAGTCTGTATTTTATTGTTCTTATTCTGCCATTGTTTTACTAAGTGTTTTATCCTATTGTAAAGTGTCCTTGGGTGACTTGAAAGGCGCTCATAAATAAAATTTATTATTATTATTATTAATTACAATAGTTTTATTTTTTTAATTCATGGATACCATGGTTACTTTAAAGGTTTTACAGGATGGAATCTGGAAACATTGGCCACTTCAGTCCTTGTGTCCACTAGGGGTCAGAGTGAACAGGCTAATAAACCGTCCAGCCACAGACTTTCAACATCAGTAACTGTAATAACTTATTTCTAAAATTTGCACCCTTCCTCTGTGAATACTGGTGTATTTATAATCCCCTCTAAACTACCCATCCATCATCAAGTATAAATAAAGGGTGGCTTGTAAAGCTGTGCCTTTACTACACTTAACCTTCCTCCCCAAAAAGCCCAAAGTGTACAGAACATTCATAACAGAAAGACGGAATGGTTTCATGATTTTATTGAACATAATGAAACGGTGGACAGGCTAATACACACATTACCTGCTGTAAATTTTACAGCCATCCATAGCTTTTCAACAGGTATCTCACCTATAAAGATGCAACAAAGGCCACCGGGAATGTGTCGACACAGATCTATCAGAGCAAGGCTTTGAATTCCCACAAACAGTAAATATTGAGAAGAACAAATAATGAGGAAAACACATTTTTGGTGGAGCAAAACATTTAAGGCAAGTATAGATTCTGGTTTGTCCTTTGATATCTACAAGGCACCTGCTTATTAAACTCGTTCATTATGAGCAACTTTATCATTTGGAAAGAAACGGAAAGATGATATACATACACATATTCAGTGAATACAGATTAGAAAGTTTTGATTAAAACTCAACAGTCGTCAAATAATCTATATAATAATAATAATAGCTTCTTTTAAATCAGCTTAAGAGTTTCACAACACAGGTCTAAGTTTCCTGTTAAGAGCTTACAGGAAATAAACCTGATCCAACCCCTAGCAACACAATGCTGACTAAACGCTCTACACATAGTTGTTGAGTAAAGAAGCGTGATCTTTACTGTCATGATGTAGACTTCAAATATTTCTGACATTTTAAAATCCTTTAAAATTTGTTTTGTCCAAAAAAAAAAAAAAAGAAAAAGAAAAAAATCTCACTGCTGATATTCTCCATGTAGATGCTAATTTTAAATTAAAAATGTCAATTTAAATCAACTTAAGACTTCACTTTCCTGAAATATTTGGTGTCAGCATATTGTTAACAATAACGAAATTCAACTATGTACATATGTTCATTATCAATTAACATCTAATACCATCCACAGGCTGTATACAAAGGATAGATGCAGTCGTTGTGTCGTAGTCCCGTTGTGCAGACTTGAGCTGAGGGGGATAGCGGTCACCATATTGGGTTTTTATAACTGGATGTGACGAGTGAGGCGAGGATCCGACTGAAAATCCACAGGACACTCCACATTCAGTCACTTGTCAGTCACAAGGCCGGTCTGCTCTAAAGCGTTCCCTGCTTTATCGTCCTGTTTCACTCCAAATAAGAAGATAATTTACAAGATGAACTATATGCTATATTCATTAAGGCATAAAACTAGCAACTGAGATCATAAACTCATAAGGAAAATGTTTATTGAGGTTATAGAAAAGGGGGCATCTTCCCATAGACTTCTGTACAACGGGATGTCTTTTTGCAACCAACGAAGTCGTCCCCTGCAGGTCATTAGAAAGAAGGCACTTCTGCAGTAGTTTCACTTTGCAGACCCTAAAGCTACATTTTTATACACAGTCTAAGATGTAATCACTACCAAATAAAACATTAGGCAGATAAGCTAAAAATATACATACAACTTTAAAATGGGATCAGAAAGACACTCCAAAAAAACCGAATCCTTCCAGTTTGTCTTTAGCACAAAATTCATGGATTGTCATCATTGTTACACGACAATATCGCAAAAAACAGTCCACCTATGGAAAATCATCTATTGTACATGGGATGGTTTTGAAGAACACGCATCTTCTGTATGACATGACCTCAAAAATTTCAACGGGTTACATGTGGAAGGGACAGTGAGATTCCCAGTAAAGAAAGAAAGGAGATCACAGAATGAGCACGTGAGGTTTGCTATACTAGACTTCCCGGCCAGGACACCACAGTCAGCGTGACTTTATTCTTCTGTAGTTTGAGCATTGGGATGAGAGAGGAGTTGTTCATTCCCACAGTTGTAGCTCCGTTCACCGCCACTATCTCATCACCACACCTGAGAAAGCCACGGGACATTTTCGTTATCAGGGTCGGTGCCGAAAAGATACAGGAGCGGATGATGTAACATGGGAGTCAAAATGTGGTTAACTTACTTGAGGCGTCCATCAAAGTGAGCCGGTGTTCCAGGCACAATGGTTTTGATGAAGAACGGCTGCTGCCCGTGGCTCTCCTCATAACCCCCAACGATGCTGAAGCCCCAGCTCTCGTTGTTGGTCTTCTGCAGGACGATGTCCCGGCACCAGTGCATGTGACTGAAGAAACGAGTCAGAGTCAGCTCTTTCACATAAAGCAAAAACAGCTCAAACAGCACTATGACCATGATATAAATGATTATACTGAGTTGGCTTTACCTTGGTAATCCCAGCCAGCGAGTCCACAGCGGGGTCCAGTTGAGGGTGTCATCCCGTGAGTCTTCTGCAATGTCGAGTTCGTCATCGTTAGCCTCGGTGTCCTCCTCTGACTCCTCAGACAGAGTCTGAATGACACGAAGCACCACCTGGGACTGAGCTGTCTGAGCCTTCAGCACAGAAACGGCCTCATTGTAGGTCAGCTGAGTCAAATCAACACCGTTGATGCTCAGCAGAACATCACCTGAAGAAATACAGATGATGTTAACAAGGACAAGGCCAGTTCAGTTAAAATTATTGTTTCTGTGTTTAAAGTGATTTTTTTTTAAAAACTCCAGATGTCAGTTCAACCACAGACAAAGTGTGGGATGGATATAATATTTAAAGAGCAGCTCTTAAAGAAGTCAGAGTCAAGGCTCTATTTTAGGACATCCTCTCAGTTTTAATGGTCCTTTAGCAGCACATTGTATCCTGGAAAAGAGGCAGGAAAAAAAAGAAAATTGCCCTTTTCCTGTACTTTTGTAGTGGATTTTCAAACAGAGCTGTCATTTCCAAAATCTTTACACTTATTTATTAAAATACATTGTAATTTTGTTTTCGTTAAAGGCTTAATCGATTGAATTTATGTACAACTATCTCTACAAAAACTGGCTTACTAAATTATTAATCAGTGGACAGAAAAGATGTTCAATTTATTCTGTACAGTGTTGATGGCGTCGATGGTCTTGGAGGTCCAGGAACGGCCAAAAAGGATCCCACATGACTGTAATCATGCATGCCCGTTTATGATGTGTTTAAAAATAGTTTTTTATCCTTAAAGTTGCTGTGTAGCCTGTACAGATGACCCAGAGTTTAGGTTTATTAATCAAATGTAATTGACTCCTGTAGTTCTCCATCAAACATAAATTTAACAAGTCTTACTTTGCACTTTAGTTTATAACCTCTGTTTTGTGCACTGTGTATGTGTGTGTGCACGCACACAAGTGCAACAGCATGTAAGTGAGACTATGATTGCACTCTCCCCTTTATTTATTTATATATATATATATATATATATATATGTATATATATATATATATTTTTTTAAATTTCTTATTTTATGGAATGCCAAAGTGATTTGAGCCAAATGCCCCCCTGTCAAAGTTGGCCGCCTGTCCAGTTCATCACGATCACCGGCCCTAACCCTGGTTGTACATGATAGAAAACTGGCATTTATTTGAAACCCAGAAGTGAAAAGATATCATCGTGACATTTTTGGGGATTTTTACATTTTCTGACATGTTACAGGCAAAAATGATTGAGGATATCTAAAGATGAATTAAATATTGAAATAATTTCTAGCCGTAGCCCTTGGCCAAGAGAGCGTTACAAAGACAAGAACACTCTTTTTATTCCTGTGGTTTGTACCTCTTTTGATGGTGCCATCTCGGTGCAAACAGCCTACAGGCTGCACACTTGTGATGTAAACCGGTAGACGGCTGCGACAATCCCTCCCTCCAGCGATCGTGATGCCGAGGGAAAGCCGAGGCTCCTTTTTCAGACTCACAGTCTTCTCCTGACTAGAAAATCCACCTGGAGGATCCTATGGAAACAATGAGACACATTAACACCAAGCAATAAGAAACATATTGACCATCTTCATTGTATGGATTTTTAAATTCACGTCCTCTACCTCATGTTTTCTCCACAGGAGTTAACCTCTTTTTCGTTTGGCCTAACATACCAGCTAATCACATTCTCTCCAGGATCACTGACTTAATGGATCCCCCTTACAAAACCACTTGTAGAAACAAATGTGAAACATCTGAGATGGAGCTGAGAGGTAAGGGCAGAGGGAACGTGTGAGGTTCAGCACTACGCTCTCGTACTGGAAAAGATGTGTGGAAAATGACAACTTCAACCAGTGTCCTTGTGGCTCTCTGGAGTCTGTAAACCATCAGAAGGGAAGGTGGGGGGTTCTTCCTCTCCACAGCAGGGAATCCCCCCCCCCTTCCCCCCAGCAAGACGAAAAGGCTCGACTCTGCAGGCGAAAGCTAACTGTTACCAGCTTTGATCCTCTGTCTCGCAAAGAAACGGCCAAAAAAAACAACAAGACAGTGGCCCCGTAGCGGCAGAGCGAGCAGCACCCGGGGCCTTTTGATCAGGCCAGAGGGAGGCCCCAAAGAAGGGCTTTTATCTCTGCTCACCATTGCAGGTGTCTGCTCTCACCCCTCAAACGGGGGGTTGCTGTTCTTTCCACTCACTGTGTATGGTACAACTGAGTGTGAGCGACACAGGAGTGAACGTCACAATTACGCCGTGTAAACATAAACATGCAAAGTTTGTAAGACACTGCTACCAACGTTGGGGTGTTAAAAGACAACAGCTGGAAACCACCTGGAAACATGGATATAAAATATATAATTAAAAAAAGACTTGGGAGGAAACTGTTTGCGTGTTACCTTCATGTAGGTGGACCGGCGCCTAAAGTACTGCGGCTCAGGCGTCCTCCTGGATGTTCTGCTGCTTCCTCCTTCCTCTTGAGCCTCCGCAGATCTCATCACCACAAAGTTCACACGCATCTCACTGGCCTGTTGGCACAAAGAATAAAAGCAAATGATTTTACACAAACAAATTTCATACAAAGCTCCTATTATGAATTCCTCTGCCAGGTGGTGTTTACATTGAGGGTTTTGCATGTCTGGTCCACTAACTATCACCTAGGATACATTTTCCATGCTGTGATTGATGGCCCTCCTGAGTGCCTTTGGTCTGTAGAAATTTTAAGATGTATTATGACTTGTAAAGACTTGCTGGGGACAGAGTCCATAATAAACATACTAACAGATGCTTCTTTCATGTCTGTACAAGTTGTAAACAACCTGTGTCCCAAAATGTTGTCAATCAGTTCAATGTTATTTCTTTATATAGCACCAAATCACAACAACATTTGCCTCAAGGCACTTTACATTGTAAGTTAAGGGCTGCACAATAATAATGTTGATGTCACTTTTTGAATAACTTTTGTGATGTGCAAGTCCTTTTTATTCTTTGTGTTTTTACTTACTTTAAACAGCATCTTAACTTTGTTTATTTAAGAAATAAGGGTGCAGTCTGTAATCTACCTGTATAATCTGGGCTGCACTTTCAGGTGTCCCATGCCTCAGGTCGTGTCCATTGATGGCCAAAACTTTGTCACTGTTCCTCAGTTTTCCATCCTTAGCTGCCAAACCACCAGCCAGCAGGTCCAAGATAAAAACCCCACTCTCATCTGATTTGCGGATGAGTTTAATGCCGAGCGGCTCTGTGCGCTGGCTCTTCACTAGCGTCACCTGCAGGACTGTACCAGGGTTGTTACTGGAGGTAGCGTTGCTATGGGGACTGTGAGAGCCCGGGGAGCCGGTGGAAGTGGGTTGGTTTTGGTCTGAGCGTTGATCCCTTAATTTGAAACCTTTCTCCTGCATGACGGTGAGCCTGAGGAGGGAGGGCAGCTGCAGCACTGCGATGGCCCGAGTGTGGGGAACTGAAGCCAAGCTGATGTCATTCACCTGGAACACGACACCACAAAGAGGAGAAACAACACCGTCACTGATAAAGCAGCTGAGCGCAAACATTACCTGCCTTCACTGTGTACAGTTATTTGTCAAGCATAAAAGAGATCAACCTTTCTTGACAGTGGTGTAATTTGATGTGCTTGGAAATAAAGCTTTGTCATATCTGGCTTTAATGCTATTTAGCATGGTTGCCACAGCAAGATGAACATGCAGATTTTGGGTTGTTCTTGCTGTTAGGCAATAGTACTAACCACCGTGTCGCCCCGCAATACAACGCCCTGCATTAATACGATTTCTGTTTTCCAGAAAAGAGCTGACGCGACCCAATTCAATGATTCTGTACAGTTTTCTTTTCACAGGCGGTCCATTTGTGCTCATTGTGTTTCAGCTTCTTTAACACAATTTGGTTATTTTCATAAGTTTCTTTTGGCTGGACAGAAACACCAACTGGCATGGATGCAAAAATAATTGCTATTAAGCAGTACAATACATTTTAGGTTGGATTTTGAACTGTCAGTGAACAGCCTGTACTCATCTGCGTCGTACACACAACCCAACAAACCCTCAACATGAACGCAATAAAGAAAGTCATCATCCATTTCAATGAAGGAAGATGATTCTTCTCATCACGTCCTGCAGATGGAGTAAACTGGCGGCTGATCACTATATACTATTGTGAGGTAAATGAATTGAAAAGAGAGGGGGAGCCATGCAGGATGCCATATATAGACAGAGAAGCAGAAGGGCAATGGCATAAAATTCAAATAAATCATCTCCAGTAGAAAGAATTTTTTTTTCCTGTAGTCAGGAAGTTTTTCTCACTCAGTCTAGACCCAAGCCACTCAGTTGTTTCTTTTGGAAGATCCAAATCTCATATTAAGTCATTTAACTCTGAGTAAATAACTGCGAGTAATCTTCAAAGTCCTCATCACTAGAATGTTGTGCATCTGGAGACAAAACACCATCACGCGCTCGTCTCTCATCAGCTGAAAAAAATGAGCGGTGGCATTTCATCTAAATGTGGTGCAGGTCTCATGGCTGATGGCAGGTTAGGGGAACTGATAAATGATGCAGTTTTTGAACTGTATCCAGAAATATTGACTAAACAGAAGCCACAAAGCCATTCTGTGGCTTCCTCCATGCCACTGAAAACATTAAAACCAGACTTATTTTGCCCTTGGTTGTCTAATTTCATACCAAAATAAGCAGAGCATGTTTTTTCCACAAAACCTGTTATGTTTTGTTGCTATTTGGCTGAAGTGAAGCATCCACAGATAGGAAAAACATCTGGATCATGTTTATAATTGCCATTTGTAAAAAAATAAATAAAAAAAAATTAAAAAAATCAGTGTTACATTTAATAATCATTATCTGCTCCACAGTTTAGCTTTTTTCTTCTTTCTTTTTTCACTTGCAGCAGGAATCCTCCCCTCCGTTTACATTGTTGTCATTAGGTTTGTTTAAACACAATCATGCATGCCACTTGAAAAGGGAGTGACTGGAGTCAGGTGGGGACGCCTAAGGGAGGCTCAGGCCTCTCATACTGTCACTACAAACTGTGGATTATTGCTGTAGTTTAAAGTTTATCAGCCCTCAGGGCCCCCCCCCCCACTGGCCTGGGCCCCCAAGCAAGGTGCTGCTTGCCACCAGGCAAGGCAGGCAACTGCTTGTCTGTCTGGAAATTCGAGCTTCCTCCCACAGTCCAAAAACCATGCATGTTAGATTAACTGGGTATTCTAATTAGGTGGGAGGTATAAACGTGAGTGTGAATGGTTGTCTGTTTCTCAGCGTTAGCCCTGAACTGGAGACGCTGAAGGAGAAGGATGGACATTACACTTTAGTTTTGTTGTCCTCTTAATAAAATAATCACGATTATCACAGCTACGTAAACATTAATTCCAAGTCTCTTGTGTTTGAAGTCTGCCTCACAAATCTAAGAACAGGCCTCAGCAAAAATCAATCATCTTTTTAGGTTCACAAACAAAGGAAGCAATTGTTTCGCGTCCTGAAAGCGAGCTGTTCTCCGGTACGGTTTTTGTTTTCATTTCCAGGTCTGGGATTGCTTAGCTTTAGAGGAAAAGTTAAAATGTATTTCACAGGAAATTTATTTCAGAGCAATGTGAGGGTAGAAATCGGATGTGGAATATTCTTGTTAGTGATATTCTGCACTCCCATTATTCTCTGCGGAAACCAAACGCAGTTCCTCCCTAATGTTTGAAGACTATTAAAGTGAAAGGCAGTGGGTTAGTCAGTTACACCAACAAAGTAAAGTTGCTCAAGCTAACATGACGCACTTGTGCCAGGTAATATTAACCACGCCTTGTTGCCATGGAGACAAAACTTGTTTATCTTGTATGTCTACTTTCCCACCCCCTCTAACGAGCAGTGTGTTTACAATACCATGAGAAGTAGTCATAAGGTGTTGTGTGCGAAACAATTTTGACCTCAACTGTCACGCTATGCCACGACACGAGATTTCTAAATCCCAACACTGAATAACAGCTGAATACGACTTAATCCCAGCTCTTCCCTCGTTTTTGTTTTCTCTCACCTCTAAAATATGGTCTCCTGGTGCCAGCCTGCCATCCCTAGCTGCTATTGAGTCCCGCACAATTTCTTGTATGACTATATTTCCCAGCGGTGTGTCTTTCCCCCCCACGATCCGAAGGCCCAGCTCCTCTCCGGGTTCATCTCTGATCAGCTCCACGACAGTGGCCTCGGCCACCAAACTGGACCGCAGGGAGTTGTTGTCTGTAGGAGAGGGAAAAAGAAAAGCAACAGTAATAAACATGGCTGTATGTCCTGTTTACTCCCAGTTCTCTCCTCTTTTTCACTGGAATGAACCTTGTAAAATACCCAATGCAGGAACACCAGCAGAAAGAAGGAAACAAACAAATCTAATCATACAAGTTTGAGCTGTTTGGAGTCCAGCTTGACTCTGATTAATTAAGTTTTTGTTTTTTTATCTTTGTAAACGGTTCTTATCTTCCAAATATGGTAACTCGCCCACAAGTTAAATTCTAACCCTACTTTACTGAGGTGTCACACTTCCATAGATCCAAAAACACAACAGAAAAGGCAAAGCTGGTTCAATTCAGTGGTGTAAAAATACAGCTATTCACACCAGCACTTTAAATTGTTTTTATTCCCTGCAGGATGTTTCAACACGGCATGCAAGTAAATTTTTAGCATAAACAAAACCTGCTCAAATCCCAGGCTTGGATCTAGAGCAGGGCGATATGACCAAAAACATTTATCACGATATACATTTGAAAATTTGCGATAACGATATAACTGACGATATAATTGACACTAGACAAAATACTTTACAACTCCACAACTTTATTAGTGCAAAAAAAACCAAAACATCAATGTATTTTCACTTAAACAAGCAGCTGTTTTTTATGTGCATTAAAGTTATATAAAAATTTAACAGTGCAAATGCAAATTCCTTGCTGACAGTTTAACCAAAAGGCATTTCCAGTGGAAATTGGCCGACATATCCTCAGCATAACCATGTATAATATCCACAAAACTTAAAAAGAGGTTATACACACACAATACGGTAATATTATGTTGAAGCACAGTACGTATCACTCCGCGAGGCTCCTGCCTACGATAGCCGTAATGCTCCGACAACCCATCAAGCGGTGCGGGTTTCTAGCTTAGCAAAGTCGTACTAAAACATTTGACCGATTTTCCAGTGCCGTGTACATAAAATCGTTTCGAGGTCAGTAAACACAACCAGAAAAATCAAAGGATTGATTTTAAGTGTGCCGTATTTTCCAAAAAACACGATAATAACAACGGCCCGCAAGCATGCTCTACCAAAAATAGTGCTTTGTTGTGTATCTGACGGACGAAAGCTAAACCAGTTCCACACCACCGAAGCTGCAGCATTTTTACAAACCAATTCTGGTTCATCCGTTTCATTTAACAATCCGCCTTCGCCCTTCTCATTCTCTGTCGCCGCCATGCTTTTTCCACCATGTGCGTATGAAAACAAAGGCACTGGGCATGCGCGTTTTACCCATAATCTATCGCGATATTTCATTTTCTTATCGTTGCCCAACATTATACCGGTATTACCGTGAACGGTATGATACGGCCCAGCCCTACTTGGATCATCAAATGGGACACTGCCATTAGGACAGAGGATGAGGGGAGGAAAAGAAGCTATAAAGGAGCATGAATTGTGCTGACCATTTAATAACATTTTCATTGTCATCGTGATATAAACCTACTAAACAAGTTTCCTAAGGCTGTCTGAAAGGCAGTGAATAGGAAAAGTAATTCATATTAAAACACATGAATACCTTCACACTCAACATGCAAATATTTGACAATGTTCAATAAAAACTTTTTCTTAAAAAATAATAAATTCTTTATTCAGTGAACATAAGGTATTTAGCGCTTGGTAGCAGTGCCAGCAGCGTGCCTTTTAAAACCACAGAAATTGGAAGCTTAGTGCATATTTATTTATGTATAAATGTATACAAACATTTTCATTGACTGAAACTACAGAAGAAAATAGTAGACGCAATCTAAACAGTGACGAGTGACTCCAGAAACTATTCGGAAGCAAAAACAGGCTACACCCTTCAACACATTAATGGTCTGTGACTATGTGAGGGTCTGTTCGAGTCTTTGTAAAGGTCAGTTGTCCCACAAAACACTACAGCGCAATGCATCAACGACACATGCATTCTTCAGGTGAATACGGGGCATAACGGCTACTCGTCCATGGTGTCTGTAGCTTTCCACATTCTCTTACTTATTCACTTTCTATTTCACCTCGCATAAAGTTAGCTCAGATACACTGATAGCTTGTTTACACATTTCAAGATGCCTCTTACCCCATCACCTCTTTTCTAGCGATGTCACAAGCTCTCAGTAAACGCCCTATTAAGCACAACTAAGTTACAGGGGATTTATACTTAAATCTACCCTGGACCTGACGTGCACCTCCATGTCAGTAGATTGTGATTGCCCTGCTCAGTACTCCAGATACCTCCTGTGTATGTCTGGCAACTTTGGTGAGAATGATATTAATCATTGCTTCAGTTTCTGAATTTGCAGATGTGTGCAAATTCTCAGAGGGAGAATGCTGCAACTATCAGAATGGTTGAAGGCAGTGGAAAAACATTATATGTCCATATATGGTACATTATATGGACCATATAATGTACCACAAGTATTAATGTTGGTGTTGGCCAGTTGTTTAGGTTAAACATTACATATAAAGGATCAATGTTGTAATCAACTGTTAGTTGACTTATACTTTAAAACAACTCTACAGAAATAGAATCCAAACTTTAAATGATCTTCCTGTTGCTGCAAAATTCACAGAAAACCCAAAGCATGAAGAGCAGGCTGTAGGAGCATTTTTTGTAATGTTTGTGTTCAGATAAGCTGAGCATATCTTGTGCTCATCTTTTTTCCTGAATGCAGAGACAGATATGATCGTCTCCTTTAACTCCCAGCAAGACATTTTGGTGAGAAAAACACCGTCTTCACCAACATTTTAGAAATGTCTATTTTCCCATAGATACTTACTATGACATAAACCAGTAAATCTGTGTCATTTGTGTTTCCGGGATGCGCTGAAGAGTATCGTGAAAAGGAAACAGAGTGACGCAGAGTGGACCTCAGTTTGTGATTATAACAGTGAGATAGCGCAAACTCTGCTGCACTGCACAGCCTCGCTCTTCCGTGGAAATGGCCTGTGCATACACACAGACCATACAAGTACTTACATGCTTACTCCTCAGCAATACTACCAATGTATTTGCTCCCATTCAGTTAGAAAGCTATGAATTTTACTAGCGGCAAAGAAGGTGAAACCTGGATTATTCAACATGATGAAGTTTTTATGCTGGGGGGGGCAGCATTACTAAACATATCTAACATCATTCTAGATTTATGAGTCTGCTGAGATTTTAACAAAGATTTTTCAAAAATCAAATGACAGATTATAGTTGCACATATATAAACTTCACTGTGGACACCTGGTACCAGTTGCTTGGCAACTGTGTTTTACTGAACTTTGGTCGGTGATGCCGGCTTGCAAGTTGCTTTCAGGGTTTTTCCCACCCATGATGCAACTGTCTGGTTAAACTGTGTGTGAGCTGGTACATGTTCCTACAGCCAGGCTGATGATTCACCTGAGACAGACAGAATCAAACCCTTAAAGGCTAAAAGCAGCAAATCGCGTGTGTGCCCTGACAATCACCCTACCAACTGGAAATATTCCTGTTAAGCCTAGAAGCTTCTATAAAGATTATTTGGTACTGTTCTAACGCACACCCTGAGAAATTGCGGGTTTTAAAATATTATAAAATAACTCCATACCTTCCTCACCTTCCTCATAGGCAGGATTAATGAGCCCAGGCTCGGGCTGATCCCGGGTTGAATTTCGAGACAGTGTTGCTGAGTGTTTCGCATCTCCAGACCCTTCTCCGTCACCCTTACGTCCCTTTAATTCATTCCATGAGGGCCTCTTCCTCTTCTCTGCTTCCTCTCTGAGTCTTCTAAAAACAGGACATCTGAGGATTGACAGAAGCATGAAGAACATTAAAGTGGGTGAATTAGTGATGTTAAAAGGAGTTTAAAGAGGATCTTTTATTACAATTTGGAGCTACAGCTTTATATTCTTTTACTAGAGTATCTTTCCAAACAATTCTCATTTCCCTTATGCTGTGCAGCCCATCACTCCACCCACTGTCTGAAACAAGCTGCTTTTACTTCCATCCCTTCCCTTTAAAAAACAACTTTCCTCTAATTAGCTGCTCATCAGAAACAAAGTTTGAAGAGCAGTTAGGTGATGAAGCTGTGTTCAAGACCAGTGCTATTGAGATGACAACACCAAGGAAATCCCCTCCCATTGACATCATACAGATCTGACAGAAAAGAAAAAAAAACCGAGCATTACAGCTGTCGGAGTTTTTGGCTCAAAGGAATTAATTCTACATATGATTACATCATTTGAACTTTGGCCACATTTAATAGGAGATCCCACCTTTGTAGCTGTATTCATATATAAGTGAAGATAATGAAAAATATTATAGGTACATGCACAGGAACGGCTGAAAATGAACTCAGGGAACAAAATTCAATGTTAACTGTGTTTTGTGAGAGCAAAGAGACCAGAGGAGAAGCACTATGCAGATTTCTCTGCATTGCAGAGTGTCTGTTGAGACAGGCTGAATCTGATTAAGCCTGTGCTGGAACCGGTGCCTGGTCTTCATGCCTGAACTTTGCCTCCTCACTGTTTACACAGAGAAGCTGCAGCAAGCTAATTTTCCTCCCACAACTGACTGCGTCATAGCGGCCACTGGACGATAAGCACCACACTCTCCATGTGAAAACAAGAGGAGTGACCTGTGCCTCGTATTGAACACAATAACTACACAGCTGTGTGTTCACAGACGAACTATGCTACCAGCAATAGCTGGTAGAGTTTCAAAGAGGACACAGCTACGGTGGCCCTGAAAGGTCAAACGGACTGCGAGTTAAGAAAACACCAACAAACGGAAAAGCATACAAAACATGACTAAAATAGAAAAAAGAACGGATATAGAAAAAGAAAAACACATGACAAGAAGTAGAAAAAGGTTTGCACTTTTGGTGTTTGAGGATTCATCTGTGTTGTGAGAGAGAAAAAGATGCAGGTGATATGCAGTTTAAACACATCATTCATATAATACTGTAGATACGTGTTTGTTATTAGCCTGTTAGCTTGTCACTTTTTATTTTTAAATGGCTTTTGCTGCATCTTTTCTATTTCTGTTGTATTTTATTCAACTTTCATTGTGTTTTGTGTGTTTTCTTAAGCTTGAGCACATTTGACCTCTCAAGGCCACCGTACAAAAACACAGCTATAGACGTTATGTTTTTCTTTTCTTTTTTTCCCCCGGCAAAGTAATCAGAATTTTCTCACAAAACCCTGCAGATCTTGTGTTTATCTAAGTTTTTCTTCTTGTTGTCGTTTCGACGAGAATGGTAAGCTACAATACTCGTGCCTGTAAGCCAAATATGAAGCTATAAATAACAGTTAGCTTAATCTACAAACTGGAAAAAGGGAACAAATTTAGGTGGCTCTTTCCAAAGCTTAAAAAAAAGAAAAGAAAGAAACTGCCTTCCTGCACTTAGTCATCTTACTAATTAACAAGCCTGCAATAAATCTTTAATCTGTCACATGAATCCCCCTGTAAATCTGTGATATGGCCACGTTACACATCAACTGTCAGATTAACAAACAGTTTCCGCAGTTCTGCAAGGTGGACAGGCTAGATGTCTTCAAGCTAGGCTAAACTAAACGAAAGCCAGCTGTAGCTTCAGATTGAGTAAACAGCCATTCAACACTCGTCTTAACTCTTACCTAAAAAGCAAGAAAGCAAACGTTTCTGAAAAAGTGCAACAGTTCTTGTGACAACCACATGGCCGATGAGTTAGGTCGCTGGTAGTTTACACAAGAAGGCATCAGAGATGAACATGAATATAACATAGGACACATTACATAAACACCATCATAAACGACAACCTTTGTCTGAAGCAGGCAGATAGTTCAAAATGAAGGAAAACTAGGTAAAACTATTGCACTGCGTATAATGTCGTCATAAGATATTCATAATAGATTTAGACTTTCATGTGTGTTAGAACTGTGAAGGTCAAACAGTTTCCACAGTCAGCATCCCACTGAGTCTTACCTGTTGTGCAGGTGAGGCTGCAATTCACAGCGCTGCATCGTCTGCTGGCACTCCGCACAGTGTGGGCACATAACGGTCAACTTGTCCAGCAGGTTCCTGACCAGCAGGCTGGAGGGACGGCACTGATGTAACTGCAGCCGCTGGCGGTCCACAGGGCAGAAGTCCTGCTCCTTCAAAAAGCTGCTCAAACAATGAAAGCAGTAAGTGTGGCCGCACGGTGTGTCCATTGGCTTCAGTAAAGGCTGCAGACAAATGTGGCAAACCAGTTCATCGTCCACCTCATCCTGGTACTCGTACAAGTGGGAGTCCTGGCTGTCGTGCTGCTGGCCGCACTCCTTACAGACGCGTGCCCACGACAGGCCCACAGTGCTGCTGCCGCTAACTTTGGTTTCTGTTGTAGCCATTATCTGAGAGAGCTCAGTCCAGTTTTCTGTGTCTGGAAAGGATCAGCGCACTCTTATCTCCTCACAAACTCTTTTAGTATATTTCATAAGTCTACGTTTGCATTCCCACAGCCAAATCCACTCCAGCAGCGAAGCAGTTTATCCAGAGTCGAAAATGTTATCTCCACATCTTCATGTTGATTCTCTGTTGAGAGAGAAACACAGTTAAGTGTACAGCAGACCATTCCTACTTAAACTGGGCAGCTACACAGGAAATGACAAATCCACAAAGCTGCAGCAATATGGCAGCAAGCTACAGCTGCTTCCTCTCAGCAAGTTTCCTGAGGGACAAAAGGAATTCTCATCTCAGCTAAAAGTCACAGTGCTTCTCACTGAAAGCGCTGAACTCTGTGAAATGAGCCAGAAGAAAACAGACTAAAGTCAACCTTCTGTTAATGGGAAGGAACAAAGGCAAAGCACGCACGGGAGTAAGAATTCTGAATGAACTGGGCAGAAACGCAATCCCCTTCACTAATGACCCCTTGCACCCAAACGGCAGTGGTCTCTATCCCTTTGTGCAGGTCGTAATCTCCTTTTAATTCCCTCTCATAAGAAGAGCACTGATTAGAGAGAAACTGGAGAAACTTTTAGACAACCTCTCCAAATAAGAACAAATGAAGAAACATCACAAATTACACCAAATGTACTGAGGTGGATATTGTGAGGACACATCATCCATCAAAACAGTTTGTTTGCGGATGGAAATAATCAGTGATTATTTATTAACTGCTTTATTAACTTGATTAGCAAAATAGCTTGATGTACTTTCAGAATACTTTGGACTGTCAGAAAGGCTAAGAAATCCACAAAGACCATCATAAGACACATGGCTTTATCTTACTGATGCAAATCAACTAAAGACAAATGTTCTGTTGCACATAAGAACATGACAAAATGAGCCACCACAATAAAGTCCCTATGTTCAGGTCCCCTGTCTTTGTGATCGCAGCGCTGATTTCAGACACAAAAAGACTGCTTTATCTTCGGTGTTATTGAAGCGACTCACCCGAGATGATATCTTTGCTGTCAAGCGCCCAGTAGCCACTGCACGCAAAGGAGAGACTCTAGCAGTTGCCTGAAGCCTGAATGAAACCAGAACCCTGCCTCCTCACCAGCAGACCGTCAGAATAATGACTGTGTGTGTGAAAGAGAGAGAGAGAGAGAGACTACGTGTGTGTATGTGCATCAGTGTGGATGTGTATGAGCTCCAATTGCACCGGTGTGAGGAATGCAGAGGGGAATTGAATATAACTAGGCACCATGAGAGGAAAGGAGAAATGGTTGTTCTGCCTCCATCATCAGTGCCTCGGTGTGTGTATGTGAGTACGTGCGTAGGTTTGGGGGTTGGTGGCTCAGACTGCTGATGTTGCACTACCACAGGTAAAGTACTCTCAGTAGCTGAATGAATGACTGCAAACACAAAAGCCTGGTTATAAATATGTGCAAACATCTCTCCATATACATGCACACAGGCCTTCTCCCTACTCTTTATTCACTTTGTACAGCTGATACCCATTCCTGTTACGAATCGGGGTCAAGGATACTGTAGCACAGAGACACACACAGTAAAAACCAGGCTACGCTCCATTTACCTTGAAAACACATCACTCGGTGGATGACGGTAAAGTAAAATCCACCATCTGAATTAATGAAGAGGTAACAATTCAGCTAGGCTTTACATTAAAGGTGCATTTGATTTGTGCTACAGTGACATGCACTAGCTAGTCTTAGAGAGCTTCCGAAAGGTTTTGTATTCCAACACGCCCTCATTAAACATGGCTTCATAGGAGGATAAATAGCATCCTGAAAAATGATGGTAATCTCAGAATCGCTGGCTGTAACGCTATTAGCCTTTTAACCATGTTCCTTTAAAAAAAAAAAAAAACATGACCTCGATCAAAGTACTCATCTTTCTTGGGAATTCCCACGTGAAATGGAGAGTTTTCAAAAAGTTACAGCATAATGTGGTCAAGTAACAACCTCCAGGGCTGAAAAATGAAGCCAAAGTAAGAAAGCGCTACAAACTACAGGCACTGCTTTTGTTTCAAAGCGTGTTAATCTCTTTAAAATGTCCAATGTCAAAGCAGAAAAAAACCACTTTAAAACTATGCAGAAAAAAAGGTTTTTTGTCTCTATAGGTCATTCTACGCTTCATAACAGGTAAAAATGAATATTTCATAGCTGATCCATTTAAATTGTGTTATTAAGTTTGTATTAAGTATTAGAGGTGTGGAAATGATAAAGTGTCTACTTTAAAAGAAAATTAAAGCCCACGCTTATGAAACCAGCGGTTTTGAAATAGATATGGTGAAATATGTTAAGAGGCAACCAAAGAGGAAAGGCTACACCAGGGAACACCTTATCCAAATCAAATGCCTTGCAGTCATGTGACAGCGTAAGCTTTTGAGGGAAGTGTCTGTGGCCCTACAGAGTACTTTGGTCTCTTTTAGAGGATTACCTGAGGTGGCGTTTCTTCAAAGCCGGGCCCAATCCCATGCCTTGATAGCTGATATGAGTGAATCACATGTGCTGCCACACCCTCGGTGAACACAGGTGAGGCCATGTTAGACAGTAATTTCTCAGGTCCATGAGACAGGAGGTGTGCCATGTCTGCCTCTACCTTCCATTAATGTCTGGCATTAAATGACAATACCGCACTTAGAATGGAAAATTAATGGAATTAGTTACCCAGACATGAATAACTCTTAATCATCAGGCAAGCATTTCTCAGAGATTAAACCACATTTTTGCTTATGACTTGAATATGTTCTGAAGCCTGTAATTCCTTAAGAAAATTACACTGCCTTGTTTTTCCTCAGTCCAGATGATGAATCGTTCCAGTGGTCAAGGTAACGTGAGATAAGCAGGATGCCAGGAGACTAGGGAGAAATGTCTTATCATCCATGGTGGAAGTCTGACTGATTACTCTGTGTGTATGTTTTACTCCCTGTTTGTAACTCTTAGCTTTCAGTAACTTTATTATCTATAATAAAGATTACTTTTTGATTGCAAGGACTATTTTTTCTCTTGAGCGTCTTGAACTGAAATTGAATCTAATCTTTATAATCAAAGTTCAACGCCACGTGTTTTGAGCAGTCTCTGAGAAATCTTATGTAACTGCTATAGCAACAGGATGCAAAGTCCTCTGTTTTAAATACAATCACCAGTATTTGCATTGCATATCTACTGTGTGTGGACAAAATCAATAATCATTTCCAACAACACAATAAAACCATAATTTGCCAAAAATGCCTTCCCCCAATTTAGCTTCTCTTTGGCTCAAATATACATACAAGTAAAGCTTCTTAAAGCAGACTCGTGCACAGTGTGGTGTGGAGCCAGTCTCATAACCACAAATCATGCACAGAGGTCAAGCTTGTTTGCACAAGGCATACAAGCCTCCCAGTGTACAGCAGCCAAGCAAACACCACATATGTATATAATTTCATTATGTTATTACAGAGAGAAAACTGGGGCTGTAATTCATGAACAAAATCCCCACGAAAAAATCCTCAGCAGAGGATTAGTTTGTCAACAGTTTCTTTCTTTTTTTAAATTTCTAACAGTTCAGCATTAAAAAAAAATTGCATCCTCTGCTCTGGATTCATTTACAGCAGGAGTGACACAAATATAAGATTCCTGTGTATTTGATTCAAGACGTATAGTTATTTAACTGAAACAGGTTAACTTAATCCAACTGTGAACAAAAGAACAAAAGCAGTTTCAAGCCATTACAATAACAACACCACTACACACAATTACACTATAACTGTACAAATTTAATACCAATAGCACAAACAAAAAAAACAGGCCCACTGAGGCATTTTGTCCATTTGTAAACTAAAAATAATGAGTTTACTCCAGAGGCAACCTAGCAAGAAAAGATAAATCAACGCATATCAACTCTAGCAAACCTCCATCGAGATCTGGCAAACACACAGTCAGTGTTAAATACCAGAGCTGTGTGGTAATCAACCAACACCTGCGGCAAGGTCTTTAACCCTTAGAGAGTGTTGCAACCAATACACAAAAGACCCACGCACACATAGTGAAGTTTTTATGTTTGTGCCACTTTTGCAGCTTGTAAGTGGTGAAAGAGGTTCTTAAGCATAATGGCTTCTTTAGAGTACATTTATTCTAATATGTGGTGATAATATAAGTCATATACTGTATTAGTTTACTGGGTAAGTAGACATGTTTTGATCACATGCCACAAAAAACAAGTAGTCTTCACTGCACTGATGTGGAACATCTGGAGTTCTTTGTGGTTTTAGCTTAGGGACGACTGATCCTATTGAGGGCTAAAGGCCACCGTTGGGGAGTGTCTTTGGTTTACATCAAACAGAGTTAAGGTCGATTGTATTTTTCAAAACATCAGGATGAATCAAGGTTTCTCAGCAGAACATCACATTTAAGTAAATGCTAACTAACAGACCCGGTCAGTGGATTTAATACTGTGGCTCATCTTTATTATTTCCTCTCTGAAATTTACATTTCATAGAAATAATAAGGAAAGCAGGCTAAAAGCTTCAAACGCCTTCAGATTGAATAAATAACCATTTTCTCTGCATAGTTAAAAATTTCGCACATGGAAAAAACACAGATACTCGGTGACAGCAACAGGGGCATCTGAGATCATTTTCCACTCTGCCTGCCTGGATGTGCGTGCTGTCACTGCCACCATAAATAACTCACTGTCCCTCCATTGACAACCGACGGCTGTTGCTGAGCTCCTAATCACAACACCACCTTGACAGATCCAAATGACAGAGGGGGCAATAAAAGCAGCTCTTCATAGGTATCGGCCAGGATACTGGTTAATGAGGCAGGTAAAGTGAGAGCATGAAGACATTGCTTCACCTTCAGCTACACCGTGTGTGCCCCGCGGAGAAAGCGCTAACTGCTACACACCTTGAGCGACTTACTTTTCCGTGAAAGCGCGAATTTTGCGCTCTAAGACTCGTTTACGCGAACAGAGTGCTCACATGAAGCGTAAAAGAAAGAACACAACGGCTACTAATGATATTTGTACACAGAAACGAAGAGAATTTGCCAAAGTCGAAGCCGAAACTCGTCTTACCTGTGTGAAGGTTGTTTTCCGGAAGCAGAAGCAAACGTGTCGCAAGCTAGAACAGCGAGGTCTTTGTGAAGTCGGACAGCAGCGAAATGAAAACGGCACAAAGTCTGGCCAGTGTCTCCCCCGAGCTGGTTTTCATTAACTACTTATATCTTTTCTTTCTTTCTTTTTACCACATAGCAGCCGTTGACCTGTCCCAGGTGCAGCTGAACCTGCAGGCGAAGACTGGGCGTCTTTCCCAGTTTCGAGCAAACACACTGAACCAAAAAGAGGTTGAGCACCGGAGGGAAGTCCATGCAGGTGTACACAGTACCGTCCCCTTTTCCAAGGCAGTAGGTTTTACATAACAGCCCGCTCTTTCCAGGCAGACAAAACACTCTTTCAAAGCAGTAACTCACCCCAAAGCATTATATTTTGCTTTGATATCTAACTCTATATATCCATCTATGACAAAATGGAAAAAACACTCCCATTATTTTAAAAAGAGACGCATATTCATGCCTTTTTTTAATATTTTATTTTCATTTTTTTAATGATACACAAAGTATGCAAGTAATTAATTTTTTCACTTTTTCAAAGTGCCTTCATCTAAGTTATTGTGAGTTTTGTACAGTGCAACATTCAGTTTTAGATGTGTGAGGTCACGGATGCTAAAACAAAAACAAAAAACACCAACAGCCAGCCTGTTTACGTATAAACTGGTGTGCTGGTAATAAAAACCCACTGCCTGGTTTCTGAATATTCTCTGATGATAAAGAAAATAAAGGCTATATGGTGAGATGGCATGTAGCAGAAATGGATATTCATTTAGAAATATGCAATTCTGTACATATGGAAAGTGTGTTTAGTGTATATTATATCCATTTGTAAATGGCAGCAATAACTCTTGTGCAGTTTTTTGGCCTTTTTTTTATTTCTAATATATCTCTAGTTTACTCTTTCTTGCTGGCCCCTGTGCTGGTATAACATGTGAATTTCCCCAGTGTGGGATTAATAAAGTTTATTTCTATTATGAAACCAGGTTTGCAGGGGTTTGACAAAACCTGTTTTGCTCTTTTCCAGGTCCATATTTTTTATTCTTGGACCCCAGTAGAACCCCTTTGTTCATCCTGTGACTAAAAACACGATTTTAGCTCCTTTCCCTTTGGATCTTCACTGGATCCGGTGCAGTTTGCTTACCAGCCTGGCGTCTGGGGGAGGACGCCATCATCTACCTCCTGCACCGAGCTCTGACTCACCTGGAGAAGCCTGGAAGCACTGTGAGGATCATGTTCTTTGATTTCTCCAGTGCTTTCAACACCATCCAGCCACGACTTCTGAGGGACAAGTTGGAGCTACCAGGAGTGGACCACCACATGTCCCAGTGGATACTGGACTACCTCACAGAATGCCCACAGTGTGAGGACACAGGGCTGTGTCTCTGATATGCTGGTCTGCAGTACGGGGGCCCCACAGGGAACTGGCACCGTTCCTCTTCACCCTCTACACTGCAGACTCCAACTCCCCACGCTGCCACCTATAGACGTTCTCTGACGACTCTGCCATAGTCGGTCTAATCACAGGTGAGGACGACTCAAAGTACAGACAGTGGACTCTGGACTTTGTGGACTGGTGCTAGCAGAACTACCTGCTGATCAACGCCGGAAAAACCAAGGAGTTGGTGGTGGCCAGTGACAGACTGCTGTATCCTAGATGCATGAAGGAGCGTTTCTGCAGGTCCTTCCTCCCTGCAGCTGTCAGACTGTACAATCAAAACTGCTCCCAACAAACATGAATGTTTACATCAG